TCGGAAATCAGTTCAATGTGTGTTTCTCAAGCCCGAATCTTTTAATATTCTTTCTAAAGGAATACCATCTCTCCGGAATCTGAGTGTTACCCTGTTTTCCAATCTCATACTCTCTCTTTATGTTGGAACCCGTGAAATCCGTCATTGTATTCGAGTTCTATGTTCGCACCACATCTCACACCCATCAGCTCAAAAGCTGGCTATTAATCGATGCCTGCACTCTTCTCCCAGTGTGTTCTCTTTGGTTGCCGGTGTTTCTCATGGCTAACGTTAATCTGTTTCACAGCAAAACGGGATTTGACAATTGCCACGCAATTTGCCGATCGAATTCAGGATGATACTGTGCATTCCATTGCCCTGAAGTAATTTCAGTCAAGTCTTCGCGCTTTGTGAACCGTGGCTTCCGCTGTAACTATGTCGTGTATAGACATGTCAAATTTCTGCACATGTTCTGCCATGTTTAAATTAATGTGCGAGCATGGTGCAAATTTTCCGATCTGTGGTATATAACCATCAAGCTCCTGTGTTGCCGGTTCTTCATAGTTCTACACTACTGACTGTTTGCTAGTAACTTGTATACATTAGATGGTTATTCCATAGCAGCTGAGGCATTTCAATTCAAATATTCATGTCAGTCTTCGGACTGGGTCTAAAAATGTTTGTTCCGAAGGATTTACTCCAAGTTCGTGTGTCAATTGCAGTGGAAATTAAACAGTGCAGGGTAAAACTGGAATTTATGTATCAGAAATACATGGGGAGTCCTAGGGTACCCACCGATGTGCCGAACCCTTCGCAGTTGCTTGTGCTGTCAATGTCCTGAATAATTACGCAGAGTAAACATTATCATGTCCTAACCCTATCGAAAGTTTGACCGTCAATTTCGACGATGTACACCAGGAACTTCAGCGAGTTGAAGCAACGCGGGGACTTCCGCGAGATATACAGCGAAGGCAGACTCACGGAGAATCTACCCCACTCTCTGACTACTCCGAGACCGGGACCCGGACGTCAAGACAAAGTCAAGAAGACCGAAGATGAGGGAGGGCTCAGACGGCTGGCGCGACAAACACTCAACAAACGTACCAACAGCATGTCTCGTTAGGTAGGCTCCCTACCAAGGGCACCATAAAGGCCACATTACGAAGGAGTCATTAAGCATGACTCTCAGCCCGCAGACAGCCATTCCACACAACAAGACACACTGGACCGACCTTAATGTCAAAGTTATCCCGTCGGCTGGCAACCCTCGGCAAAACACGCGTGGGTGGACATGTTTTTTAGGGCTTGTGCTGTCAATGTCGTAGACAGTTACGCAGAGTAAATATTCTCGCGTTCTAACCCTATCAATAAACCCAACTGAAACCGTTATCTAACCTCACCTTAACCCTAAACATAATCTTGACTCTAAACTTAATCTCACTGGAACCTATTGCGAATCCACTTGCATTACGGACAGTTCCTGTTCTCATCTCAAACCGGGGGAGGAGAGCATATATGCCAGCCTTACTGATCAATGCTTATGAAGATCACACATGATAGCTCTTGACAGAAACGTAAAATTGAACGATGTTATCAAAATGGATCTGAAGCACTGGAAAGTGCCTCTCCCCACTTGCTGGCAGTTGAAGTGGCACTTGTTGCTGTGGGCTACCTCAGGTTTCTGAGGAAGAAAGTGTTAGTGAATTAAAAGCGTTCTCCTCTTACTAGCTTAAACTAACGATTACCAGATGATGGGCATCCAGGTAAGAAACTCTTGCCACACAGGAAAAGGAGCTATTGCACCATGAGATCCAATTAAAGGGTGCTAGGTCGTTCAGCCATCTCCCGTAATAGTTACAACAACACTTACACACTGGGGTTTCGATACCGCCCCCAAGATGCTCCAATCCAGATCCTCATTATAGAAGTATGCGCTCAGTGATATAAGAGGCCTGGCATTTCCCAAGGGTATAATTGAGAAAGCGACCTATTTTCACTCGTCAATCACGGAGGTCCAGATTAAGGCCACTTTGCAGTCTGCTAAGAAGCACTTGTTTGACCTCCGTAAGCATGATTTAATAACGTCTTTTGCTCTTCTTCATATTCTCCACAGGTACTCTCTACGCAATGAAGCATCATAGGGCACTTCGGAGGCTCTCTGAAAGAACTGCTTTGACAGCAGCATATTGCCAAGCTGTTAGGAACTTCCAGGAGATTTGGGTTCTCCTTGCCAATGATCCGAACACTAGTTCATCGCGACAGCGTTACCTCTCCGCCTAATGTGATACAGGTGTCCGGAAACTCTAGACTCGGTTGCATCGGTGCTTACTTCCATTATATGCAGTGATATGTTTTTGATCGACTGGATTTTCATCTGTGATAATCCACTCATGCCTCGTGCAGTTGCATTTCTGGATCCGGGAAATTCTCATTTAAACCCAATTAATTTACATCCACGATTATTTTCACAGACCTATGAACTTTTTGAAGACCTTAAAAAATTGCGCAAACGTGCTCGCCTTCTACATTTTTCTTAGGTAGTGCGCACACATATTTTTAAAACGGCATCTTTCTGTACGTCATTACGTAAGTTTATAATGATTGAATAGCTGTTATCTCTACATACAGAACATACATATGTTCTTCACTTTATTCAATTGTACCTTCGTTATAGGACTTCATAAATGAACTTTATATAGTTAACCTTCCCGGAATTGATGAAGAAGACATTCTTTCATACATTTACAGCCCCATTAGTTAATAGATTTACCCTTACTGTGATTGTAAAATAGACCAACAACCAATTAGTTAGTATAGGGTAAACAATAGTATATCGCATAACGAATGCACTAATGTGACAACTAACCATCGGACGATACTGTACCCTGTTTTTTAGTAGGCAATTTATTAAGTTTTTTTTAGATTTAATGTAGTAAACTTATTTTTAAATGAAATTAAAGTACTCTTGGTTATATTTAGGATGAAACTGCTAGTGTGGCATTCCAAACATTCACCATTCTCCCCGATTCGTGACTGATTCCAGAACCCAACCTCGCGGATGTTTGAGGTAATACTCACTGACTTTTCCTTTCTACTAGATACATTGCTGTGTCATCTACTTCAAGCCCACTACTGCGCTTTAAACACTTACTGAAAATCGAGCTGGCTTATCTTACCACGCACATATACAGTCCTGTCAACGCAATCGCGTCACCCAGCAGGAACCTCTATAAAGCTTAACTAGGTTCTCGGTGCGAAACCATGCTAACAAAAAACCTCAAGACTTGAGTTTGGAGGCCTGGTTGATTACCTGCTCCAACGGACTTCGTAAAGCCCTACTCAACGCCAGAAGACCTCTGCAATAACTGAATTCTTGAGTCGCATCAAAATGAAACAACTGAGTTATTCTCCCCTCAAAGGTGAATTCGAGTAAATTAAAATGGTTTGTTGGAGTGTGGTGGGGGGGGGTAGTTTCTTTCAAGACGAGGATTGAGCAAAAGGCGTCACTAACCCCTCTCCCTTATCTTGGACAGCAGCTCCGTCCTTGTCCTCTTTCTCATCTCACTTCTGCTTTTTATGTGATCCCTTGGGTTCTCGGAGTCGGGCAACAGGTCCGTGTCGTCGAATTCACACAGCGGATCAAGTTGGGCTATGGCCGGACGACTTGGCCGGATGGCTTCTAAACCAATCGGTTCTATACGCCTTTTTGACTTCTGTTTACTGTCCTCTTTCTGCTTCTTTTTAGTTATAATGCTGATTACGTGGTCAGAGAACGGTACTTCAGACATGGATTCCGACTGAAGGGAAGGAGGTAAAAATGGGTTACTAAAAAGAAAAAAAGTAGTAAATCAATGCCATAAGAACTCAGCAGACCAGGTGGTTTGATGAGGTGGTTATCACGGGACAAAAAGCCGGAAAGGCCTAATCTCGAAAAACGGCTAATCTAAATTGGTGACAGAAGCTGGAACGTTGTAGGTATCAAGTGGTGACTTTCCTGAATGAGACATCTGTGTAAAGGCATTAAACGTATTACAATTAGGTTTAGGTTCGATGAAACATCGCTGGACTAAAGAAAACCTCTTATTTCGTAATTGAACTACATTTCCTGAACATGCCTTTGGAACTCTGCAACGCATGAAAAATGTTATCAAGTAATACATCTGCATTATGGAGGAGACTTTTCCAAAATGTCCTTGTAACGGACAACTATTAGTAAGATTATGATGAACGCATATAAGAAATGGTGAGGTGTGCACGGGACATCACGTGTAAACCGCAATAATCTATTATAGGTACGACTGCGGAAACCGAAAACACCAGAATTCGATCATACGGGAACGGCGGTAACGGGTGTTATACGGATGGGGCATCACGGGGGTGAGGAAGAGATAATAAAAGCGATATAGCAAACAGAAGCAGGAAATAGTAGATAAAAGTACAATAATGAAGTAATCCATAGGAGAAGAAAAGCGTGCCTTTGCGAACAGAGGATTTGCGAGCAAATGAACAGATGAATATTAATATAATATAGGTATGTATGCGCAAATTTATATAGCAGGAAAATATAATAGTCGAATTTTGAATGTTAATGGGAAATAAAATAACAAAAAGATACTTAGAACGCCTACCCTGGCAGCAAGATTATAATGCCTTGACGGCGGGCTGGTAGCGTATTTTCGCCATTCATATGTCGAGTCTATAGCATTTTCGGTCAAAGAACACTAATCGATCTGCTATCGAAATTTCCAGATGCACGGAAAACGGCGATAGGGGACCGTTTAGAACCACGCCTAATCCCCATACTTATTTTAATACCTTCGATCACTTCCAGTATATTACTTACTGCCCTATACTATGCTAAACTTGCCCTAAACTACTAATGGAATGGCATCTCGATGGCAGGCCAATAACGTATTTTGGCCAGTTTCATCAAGCCTATATGGAATTTTGCAGATTAACGGAAAGGCGGCCCAACGCGTATAACGTCTATCACCACAGGGGCCGTATTAAAGAGTTTCGGTTTTTTTTAAGTTTCCGTGGTGTTACTTAGAATAGATTCCTACAGCCTTAACTAGTCGATTCAACTTGAAGGCCTTTTTACTAGGCAGTCTCATTATTGTCCAATCTATGTGCAAACATCTGCATAATGATCAAACAGAATTGAGGCAGCATCCAGAGCTAGACAATTTTCTGCTTCTGACACTGGCGGAAAATTTGATTTATGGGACGATTGCACAATCGGGATAATATCGAAAACCAGTCATTCATGCAAAAGATGCGCTACCTCATGAGATGTAAATCAAAAATTTGATGAGAAAAATTACTTAAGTACGATTATAATATTAATTCTCGTGCATCATAATCGCCAGATATTACATGGATATCAGGACTGTAAATTTTGAACGAGTTTGTTTCCGGTCGCCTAAAGTGCTAGACTGGAAAAAGCAATTGTCTACGTAGTTGGATAATGTCGCATGGATTATCGAAACCTTTGTAAATTAACATACATTTTATAACAAAAATGCACGAAAATATTCCTTCTTGTACACCAATCGCAGGCAATTACGTCGACCACAACTTTTGCACGTTAAAAATAATGTCTGTCAGTTTTTAAAAAAATGATAATCAAGATATTTCGTCAGACTGTGAAATGTCAACTCACAAAGTATCGTATCCGACTATTTTTTAATGATATTTATAAAAAAGACAACGTGATTCACACACATCGAAACATTTTGTGAGCACTGTTTGATGTTTTCTAAATAGTGTGGAGAAATATGTTATTCGCCTTAGACGCAGGTACTGTGGAAACTCTGAACGAAATTCTAACGACGGCTCATGTCCACTAATATTCATGGATTCAGAACAGATTTTTTTAAATCGGGAGATGGCTTATCTTCAAGTATAAATTTTGAAGAAGGCCTTATCACCTACCAAATGAGTAGAAAAAAGGAGCAGTCTGTGCATGCTTTCTATAAAAATATTTGGTCTTATCAAGGTCTCGAAAGTCGCGGGATAGCCAGTTTTACAGAGTGCAGTTTATGTAAGTGGCCGGCATGAAACTCAGCTAAAGCCTGATATCCTGACGTGACTGACATAGTGTCACATCCGACATTATTTACGTGCACGTTTTAAGCACGTCAGATAAGATTTTCATTGTCGTTTTACCCCTCAGGTTAGCCCTCTTATCAACAACCTCGATGTTGATCTCTCTATTCCACCTCGTTACTAGGACATGTTATTATGTTCTCTCTTCTACTATGTGTGAAAAAAACCTTCATCAGACTCCCCTGTTCTGCTTTGTTGAGTGTGCTTAGAACCTTATCAGGGATCAAGCATGCAAGGAGCAACGCATATTCACAGGTCTTCCGTACGCTCGGGACATTACAGTAGTCTGGGACTATGCCGCATAATAATGAAGATCCCAGCCCTACTGCTGTAATCTTATCAAACTGAAAACGCCATTTAGAACTTCACGAATTAGGGCAAATATTCGCATCCCACTTATATGTAAAGATAGAGAAGGAGAAAAACTATCAATCAACGGAATCATAATTTTATTCGTTTGGGCCTTCTGACTCTTATTGGAGTCTATCATCAGAGATAAAAGTGTCAGCGAAAAACAAGCAACAGTTAGAGGGGACAAGGGTCAATCACCCTGCGCAGGCGTCTCCGGACTGACGACCCTGGTGGTTGATTGGCCCTTCTCCCCTTTAACTGTTGCTTGTTTTTGTTGACGCTTTTATCTCTGAAGATGAACTTCAGTAAGTACTCGAAAGCTCAGACGAATAAAATTAGAACTCCGGTGATCGACACGCCTCCTCCTTCTCTATCTCATCAGAACTGCGAGTGCATTTCAATCAGTTAAGCTTTAGCCGTTGAGGTAGGTGGGTTGTAGCCCTAGCAGGGACAGAAAAGATGACCCACGCAAACACAGGGGATAGTATTTTAGTGAGAGAAGCAGTCGCTCACGCCCACTCTCCCAACTTCAGATTTTGGCGCAGGTCAAAGTCAGAATGAGGAGGAATAGCCGTGGCAATGGCAACACAGGGGAAAGCCTTGACTAGTAGCTCTTCAGCGCATCACGCCGACTGCTAAATGTTGAGCAATGCGACGGCAGTTTATGCTTCGACGTTGGAAGATGGTCAGCTTTCAAAGCGTCAAGAAGATAAAATCCCACTTCCTGCAATCCCCTCGTCTTCTCAGAAACTGAAAAGCTATGAGTCAGGAAAGCAAGTAGCTACTAAATACTAGGTTTTCAGCGTAGGCTGCATATTCGGAACCAACGAGGCTGAGGAAGGAAAAGAAGGAATTTTCCCTTCGGATCTACTTTTGACTGAGTAATGAGATACACAGAAAAAGAAATGATGCAGTTGGAAAAGCCCATGCATAGGCACAGAGCGTAAATTGAGTAAACTCACGAAGAATCTTTCCGCGAGCGTTGACAGTCCCCAAGGCGCGAGGTGCGAAGTCACCCTGAGCCGCATCTACAATGAATGAAAGAAACTGATTCCTCGACTAACTTCTGTTGGCATTATTAGCTTATGTAGGCCCACACACGAATCCCTACTCCCTGCATGTTTTCCTACGAAAACGGTGATTATAGGATTTTATGGGTGGGGAATTAGGACGCGCAGTCGAATATACTTTAATAAATGCTAAATGCTTTTTTACCTTACTGTATTTAGAAGTGTTGTTGATTTATATCTGTATATTTTCCTAATCTGTTAACATTTAACTTATTGCGGAAAAACCCGATCATCAAATTGCAGGTTCCTTGAATTTCCCGAAAGACTTATTGCGGAAAAACCCGATTATCAAAATTCAGGTTTAAGGAAAGTCCCGAGCTTATTGCGGAAAAATCCAATTATCAAATTGCAGGTTTCTTGAATTTCCCCAAAAATTGAAATGATGGTTAGGAGGTCGTCTACTTCAACTTACCTGAGGACCAACTTATCATTCTGGAGTTAGATTAGTGTAGTCCGCGGCGCGAAGCGTCTTGCACACCTTCAATTTACACGCGGAAAAACTTACTCCCAGCGAACACTGGAATTAACATCGACTACATTTTTTTCGCTTTACACTTACTTCTAAAAATTTCCTTTTTTATCCTATGTTCCCATCCCCCCGAACTTTATAACCACCGTTTTTGCAGGACAAAATGCCACTTTTGCCCTTCTGTTGTAAGTTGAAGAGAGTTTGTTTGTAGTGTAAAAGCTCACTTATTGGTCAGAAATAGATCTTGGAAATTGTGTTCTAGGCGAAGCAAGAATAAGACCGAACAGAGTTTGTGGAAAGCCCAAGGCCCAAATTTTAATTATTCCTGTTTGTTTCTCAATCAGGAACATAACGAAGGAGAATAAAAGAAAAGGGAGACTGTTGGAATCATTGAAAATCATGCTTGCTAGGTGAGCATAGATGTGCAGTGACCTTGTGTTCTAACACATGCATGTCCCGCATGTCTGGCTCTCGCGTGCGCCAGCGCATACGCGCCAGACGTGTCAAGGTCACAGACTTGTCTGGCCTCACTAGCCAATCACTTCTCAAGGTCGGACCACAAACGAACATAGTGCGGGGATTGTCTACGATTAGACACTCCCGGAGCGGCCCGCTCATGGCTGGACTTGCACTCGTCTGGCAGTCGTTTACCCATTATTCCTCTTTAACTCCTTCTACACTTAATTAAATTATTCCTAAACCTCTGGCCTTCCACGCCTTATGTTATCAACTAGTTCATAACCGCTGGGATACGTTCTATCATCTATTATCCAGCCGGAATAATTCGTATCCCATATTGTTGACCCCGACGCTCCAATATCCTACACTGTCGACTCTGACGTCCTCTATATCCCACATTGTCGACTCCAATGCTTGTCTATCTCATACTGGTGACCCGATTTTCTTCATCGCACCATCAATTTCGTTTACCTGCCAACAATTACACACTCCATCTCTCACACTGATGATCCGCGACAGGAGACCAATTTTCATCTTCTGACTTAGCTGCCTTCAAATAATTATCCTCAGCCCTCCGTCGACTTCAGCTGCAGCTTCCTGTGTTATTTGATATGACCACCATATAGAGGATGCAGTTACCGACGACCTGTCGTGAAGCGAATTGGAGGCCATCAACCATTAATAATACATTCAACATTCAATTGTGGTCCCATCACTGCATTTACAAAGTTTCGACATTTAGCACTTTCTCATTTCTGTGTCTGGACGGCAGTGTGCCTACTTCATTGACAAATTCGGCCGACGCAGTTCTCACTGGGATACCTTGAGTTCGAAATATCACTGTCTCATACCAACGGGCCGACTTACTGGCATACGTTGACGGGGTGTCCTTTCCTCATACCTACGCGTCGACTTACTGGTACCTGTTGACGGGATTATGTCGGGACATTCTCTTCTCCTACCGGCGCACCGACTCACTGGAAATCGTTGACGAGATGTCTTTTCCTCATACCAACTTGCCGACTCACTGGCAGATATTGACGCGAGCATTCCAGCACATACTTCTATCCTTCCATCTTGCCAACCTACTGGCATACGTTGTCAACATTACACAGTCGATGAACCTTTTTATTCGTAATGTGGTAACCCTTTGTTATACATTTATCTATCCACAAAAATTGCTATATTATTATTTATACACCATTTTCTACGCTGATTCTATTTGGTACGCATTATTTTTCTGACCGTTAGCAACTTTTACCTTATGTTTAAAATTCGCACATTTTGCTCTCATTAACATTTCTGAACTCCGTTGCCATGGAATGGGACGTATTGTAGTGACCTTGTATTCTAACACATGCATGTGCCGCTTGTCTGGCTCTCGTGCGCGCCAGCGCGTGCGTGCCAGACCTTTCAAGGTCACAGACTTGTCTGGCCTCACTGGCCAATCACTTCTCAAGGTCGGACCACAAACGAATATAGTGCGGGGATTGTCTACGATCAGACCTGCTCATGGTTGGACTTGCACTCTTCTGGGAGTCGTTTATCCATTACACCTCTTCCACTCCCTCTACACTTAGTTAAATTATTCTTAACACTCTGGCCTTCCAAGCCTTATGTTATCAAATAGTTCATAACTAATGCTGTTCCACGGGACCTGGCCGTCGAGACTATACAACTACTCCTACGAGAGAAGAACGATGAGACGCAGAATCGCCTCGGGCGCGCCCAAATCCTCCGGTTCCTAAAGGTCTGCCTCAAGACATACTTTACCTTCAACGGAACTATCTACGAGCAGGTGAAGGGTACGCCCATGGGTTTACCCATTTCCGGACTTATAGCAGAGGCGGTCCTGCAACGGTTGGAGTCGCGGGTTTCCTAACACCACAGACCGAAATTCTGGGCTCGGCATGTGGACGACACCTTCGTCGTAATTGAACGGGATCAGGTGCTGACATTCAGGGAACCTCTAAACGCCGTCTTCCCGGGCATTCAATTTACGATGGGGGAAGACGAAAACAACCAGCTGGCCTTCCTGGATGTCCTCGTTTGCCGCAAAGACTATGGTGTCCTAAAAACCAAAGTGTTCAGGAAAGCAACCAAAACTATGAAAGTCCTGAACTACAACAGCAACCACTCAGTTGGTCACAAACGCAGCTGCGTAAGAGCGCTTTACCGGCGCGTTGAGACGCATTGCACGAAGTGGAAGACAAAGTTGCTAAATTACAACAACTTTGACGGGTACTGAGAGCGAATGGTTACCCGCGCAATTTTGTCAACTAATGTATACGCAAACGAGAGAAGAAGCCACGTCCAACTGGCCCAAAAGTTTGGCGAGCTCCTCCGTACGTGAAGAATGTATTGGAAGCGGTCAGCCGCCCACTCAGCCCACTTGGAGTCGGAGTTGCGCACAGGCCAGAAGCAACCATCAGACGCCGGGTCATGAGGTCGAAAGACCCATTGCCACGGCAGGAAACGGCTGGAGTCGTTTACCGGATGTGGTGCAGTTGTAGACAAAGCAACTATGTCGGAGAAACCGGAAGATTACTCCGGACGCGAATGGCATACGTCGGAGAAACCGGGAGATTACTCCAGACGCGAATGGCCGAGCATGCAGTGGTGAGAAAGAAGGACGCCAACTCCCAGGTGGTAGCTCACTCGACGGGACCAGGTCATATTTTAAAGTTTGACGAGGCCGAAATCCTCGCAAGAGGTGACAAGCGCGAGAGCCGCGAGCTGCTGGAGTCATGGTTCTCAGGTCCCCAGTCCATCAACAAG